ACATGGACTTTTCCTTATTGGGAGACTTAATTTCTTCCTTAATCTCATTGCTTCTTATGAGTCTGTTTAAGTGGTTTATATCTTCTTGATTCAGTTTAGACAGTTCATATATCTTTGTGAATTTATCAATTTCTACTAGACTTTCCATCTTATTTGAGTATAGGTTTTGAAAGTAGTCCATAATCTTTTGGATTTCTTTTTTTTTTTTTTTTCTTGTCGGTTGTGGGCCTTGAACTCTGGGCCTGAGCGCTGTCCCTCAGCTCTTCAGCTCAAGGCTAGTGCTCTACCACTTGAGCTACAGTGCCACTTCCAGTTTTCTGGTGGTTTATTGGAGATAAGAGTTTCAAGGAGTTTCCTGCCTCAGATGGCTTTGAACATCGATCCTCAGATCTCAGCCTCCTGAGTAGCTAGGATTTATAGATGTGAGCCACTGGCTCCTGGCTTTCTTTTGGATTTCTTGAATGTTTGTTGTGCTATTTCCATTTTCATCTCTTATTTGATCAATTCGAGTCTCTTTTTTTTTTTTGTCAAGTTAGGGTTTTGTCAATTTTATTAATTTTTTCGAAGAATCAGGTATTTGTTTTGTTGATTCTATTTATAGGTTTTTAGGTCTCTTAATTCATTGATTTCTGCCCTAATGTTTACTATCTCTGATCTATCATTTCTTTTACTATATTATTTACATTCCTCTTGCTAATATTAACCTGTTATTTAGAGTGGTGGCTGGGGCTCTGGAAAGGGGTCTGAGGGTTCTCAATGTTCCTGACTTCTCTCCATAGCAAGTTTTCAGATACTTTAGTATGTTTACACAATAGAAAAGTTCTCTCTGCATACTCTTACTTTTGCCATTTGAAAGTTCCCTGGAGTTTTACTTAGACAAGATTCATTGTAGATGGGCTGGGAAGTTGGCTCAGTGGTAGAGCGCTTGCCTTGCATGCCTGAGGCCCTGGGTTCGATTCCTCAGCACCACATAAGCAAAAAGAAAAAAGCCGGAAGTGGCGCTGTGGCTCAAGTGGTAGAGTCCTAGCCTTGAGCTGAAGAGCTGAGGGACAGCACTCAGGCCCAGAGTTCAGGCCCCACGACTGGACCCAAAAAAAAAAAGATTCATTGTAGAGGTAGACATCTGCTCTCTTTTTTTAAAATATAATTTTGTTTTTATTATTAAGGTGTTTACAGCGGGGTTACCATTTCATAAGTCAGGTAAAAAATACAATTCTTTTTGGACAATATCACCTGTTCTTCCACTTTGCCTCAGTTTACTCCCCTTGCTTTAGTGTTATGTGGAGATTTTATCTTTCTTAGTTCTGTCATTTCTTCTTACATAGTTAATTTGTCTGCCTTATATTTATTAACTTTTTCAACCAGCTAAAGACTTATTCTTTTTAAGTCAGCCACATAAGGATTTATTCGCTTGCCTTGTACCTATTGTTAATTTTTTTTTCCTAGTCCTGGGGCTTAAACTCTGAGCCTGGGCACTGTCACTGAGCTTTTTGCTCAAGGCTAGTGCTCTACCACTTGAGCCACAGCGGCACTTCCAGCTTTTTCTGTGTATGTGGTACTGAGGAATCAAACCCAGGGCTTCATGAATGCATGGCAGGCACTCTACCACTGAGCCACATTCCAGCCCCTATTGCTAATCTTGTAAAAGACTTTCCGTTGCCTTCCCAGATATCTTGTAATCATTGTAGGATCTTAGGCCTAATATGGCTCCTTTCACTTCCCAAGAATAGAGTAGGTAATGCTTGTAGGTATGCCTTTTGGATGAGAGAATTTGCTGCCCATCTCTCAACAGATTGTCATTTCCTTATAGTAAAAGGGAATAGACAGGGGAATGGATGAACATTGTCTGTCCTATGGCCATTACTAATCACTTCCTTTATGCCTGGGCTATCAGATGAACTTTGCATCCTGAGCATGTGAGGTTTTTCCTCAAAGGAGGTCTTCAAATATTGAGGGATACCAAGAGGTTACTGTAGTTGTTTCCTTTTTTTATGTCTAATTTTCTATTATTTATAATAGGTTAATTATAGACTACTTGGAAATTTCCAAATTGACTTATCCTGTAAAATCAGAATGATGCTATTTAGGGATAATTCAATTAAAACTTGATTTTAAATATCATTAACTTTAAAAGAAATACTAGTGCAACCCAATATTATAGAAGAATAATTCAAGGTATATTAAAGACTTAAATGACAAACTGAAAGATTAAAAACTCTTGGTAGAAACTATTGGTGAATATTTTTTAAAATTATGTATAGAAAAAAAGATTCTTTTTTATTAATAACTTTTTTATTGTGATAATACCGTACAGAGGGGTTACAATTACATGAGCAAGGTAATGAGTACATTTCTTATCAAGCATTGTTGCCTTCTCCTTTGTTTCCCCTGAAAAAAAAGATTCTTTAGACACAAAAAAATGTTATTAATAAAAAAATGGTAAATTAGACATGTGCCTTTTAGCTACTTGGGAGGTTGAGGCAAGTGGATAACTTGAACTCAGGAGTTCAGGACCAGTCTGGATAATATAGCAAGACTCCATCTAAAAAGGTCAAACTAAGCCAGACACCAGTAGCTCAAATCTATGACTCCTCAGAAGGCTGTTATATGTTCAGAGTCAGTCTTGGCAGGCAAATCCATGAGACTCTTATCTCCAGTAAGCCAGCAAAAAACCAAAAATGAACTGGTACCAGTAGCTCATACCTGTAATCCTAGCTACCCAGGAGGCTGAGATCTAAGGACCATGGTTTGAAGGCAGCCAGGCAGGAAAATCCATGAGACTCTTATCTCCAATAAATCACTAAAAACCTGGAAGTAGTGCTATTGCCTAGGTGGTAGAGTGCTAGCCTTGAGCAAAAAAACTTAAGAATAGTACCCAGGCACTGAGTTCAAGCCCTAGGACTAGCATTTGTACACATACACAAAAATCCAAAAATGGCGGTCAGACTTAGGTACTACAGTGACAACCATGAGGCAAAGAAGCTGAATGAGAGCTTTAGGCAGAGTATAAGCCCCAGTGTGGGCACATACATAAAAAAAAAGTCAAAATAACAATTAAAAAACTATTTACAAAGACCTCTACAAATCCATAGGTAAAAGCACAAAAATTCAACATAACAGCAAGTAAAACACATGAATTTGTATTTTATTTATTTATTTGGGTCTGGTCATGGGGCCTGAATTCTGGGCCTGGGCAATGTTCCTCAGCTCTTCAGCTCAAGGCTAGTGCTCTACCACTTGAACCACAGCGCCACTTCCAGCTTTTTTCTTTTTGCTTATGTGGTGCTGAGGAATCGAACCCAGAGCCTCATGCATGCAAGGCAAGCACTCTACCACTGAGCCACCTTCCCAGCCCCATGAATTTGTATTTTACAAAATGGCACATAATGGTCAGTAAATATAAAAGGAAAATCTGGATCTTAAGTGAATTGGGAAATCTAAGTTACGACCACTTACAAATCTTTTCATACTCAATCCCTTGGCAGAAATTAAAAGGATCTTCTTATATGTCACTGAAATGAATATAAATTCATGCAACTACTCCTGCTTATAATTTGCCATTATTTCCTGAGGTTGAACTATTATTATTTTATTTATTTATTTATTGTCAGTCATGGGGCTTAAATTTGGGGCTTGGGCATTGTTCCTGAGCTCTTCAGCTCAAGGCTAGTGCTCTACCACTTGAGCCACAGTGCCATTTCCATGGACATTCTTGCCTGGGCTGGCTTTGACCACCATCCTCAGATCTCAGTCTCCTAACAGGCATGAGCCACCAGTGCCCAGGTTCCTGAGGTTAAATTTGCAGTCCCATTCAGGACAGTATTTTTTCCCTGTATAACAGGAAGCATGTATACAAATGTTTATAGCAGCATTGCTCACATTACTAGCTAAAACATAGAAACAACCTAAATGCCATCAGAGAGAGGGCAAATTAAAAACAAACACTATTATACACACATACCCCAAAATGCTACATACAACAATTAATGTAATATTGTGGAGGAGATTGAGTAATATAGTATTACATGAAAAATGTAATTCCCAAGAAGTCTCATTCAGCATGGTGTGTACGCTATTTTTATAGAATCAAAGTACCCATTAAAATTGAAGTAAGAGGATTACATATATATGTAGAAAACCAAAAACCATAAAAACAAAACCAACGGGGCCAGGTATGGTGACACATACCTGCAATTCCAGCACTTGAGAGACTGATATAGAAGGAAGGAAAATTCCAGGCAAGCCTGGGCAACACACCTGTCCTCCCACACCCCAAAACAAACAAACAAAAAAACAACTAAATGCTTTGGGCATGCCTGTAGTCTTAGCTTCTCAGAGACTGAGGCAGGAGGATTATTTGAGCCTAGGAATTCAAAGGTACATATGGGCAACATAGTTAAGACCCTGTCTCAAAGGAAAAAAAGAAAAGAGAATGATGAACATGATTGGTATGATAACTTTTGAGGGTCAGGGAAACAGGAAGGTTGGCTGGAAGAAGTGGAGACAACATGGTTTACTTTAAATTATTATCAAGGCCTTAGCTTTTATTTTGGATAGTGTTTACTTGCTAACAAAAATACTACTGTTCTTAGTTATTTTTAGGCCTTTTCTGTGAAATTAACTATAGAGCTAGTGTGATCTATCACACATATCAGTCATGTTATCTTTTTTCTTGCTTGTTCATTTACTTATATGTTGCCACACCAGCTTTGAAAGACTTTGAGTTTTCTGAAAATAAAATTTAGCTGAAAAACTGATAATTTCCTCTGAAGCAAGAAGTATTAGAAATAATTTTGTTAGCATTATGTGATAATACCTCCCTTGAAGGGAGTAGTCCTCTTATACAACTTTGGCATGTTTATTTTAAAGTGACCTTTTGAGCATAGTCTGTTTATTGCATGGGAATATACTTAACCAGTATCCTTCTGAGCATGTCTTTAGGTGATTCTGTGATTTATTTTGTAGCAAGTAAACTTTTCTTTGTTTATCTCTTTTACCAGGTATACAATGTTTACATGGCAGGAAGGCAGTTGTGTTCTAAGCGGTACCGGGAGTTTGCCATCCTACACCAGAACCTAAAGAGAGAGTTTGCCAACTTTACATTTCCTCGACTTCCGGGAAAGTGGCCATTCTCATTATCAGAACAGCAACTGGATGCCCGGCGTCGGGGGTTGGAAGAATATCTAGAAAAAGGCAAATCATTCTATTAAACTCTACTATCCTCAGTAGACATATATTCTATGTATATATTGCAAACTGTGTAGCTATGTCTCTTGAAACTCAGTAGTGAGAGTAACATAAATTTCTGACTATAAGAGTGATCTGAGCTGAGCACTAGTGGCTCACACCTGTAATCCTAGCTACTCAGGAGGCTGAGATTTGAGGATCCTGGTTCAAAGCCATTCCAGGCAGGAAAGTCTGTAAGACTCTTATTTCCAATTAACCACCAAAAAGCCAAGTAGTAGAGCTGTTGCCCAAATGTTAGAGTGCTAGCCTTGAGCAAAAAAGCTCAGGGACAGCATCTAGGCCCTGAGCTCAAGCACCAGGACCAGCACAAAAAGTGATTTGAGCTTTGAGGCAAGACTGAAATGTCTACTACACTGATTAACAGCCTGCTTTATTGGCTCCCAAAAAACTTAGCAACAGAAAAATAAAATAATTAGTTTTTGATGCATTTGACCTTTATTTATAGAATTATATTACATATGCAAATGAAATGGAATTCCGTGCTGATTTGGGAACTAAATGAGCAGTATTTAAGGCATTTTCATCAAAATGATGTTGGTTCACTCAACATCCTACATGAAAACTCTTTATATATTTTGTTTTGTTTTGTTTTTTTTTTGCCAGTCCTAGGCCTTGAGCTCAGGGCTTGGACTGTCCCTGAGCCTCTCTGTGGTCAAGGCTAGTACTCTACAACTTCAGCCACAATGCCATTCTGGCTTTTTTTTTTTTTCTGCTTATGTGGTACTCAGGAATCGAACCCAGGGCTTCATGCATGATAGGCAAGCACTCTGCCTCTAAGCCCACATTCCCAGCCCTCTTTATAGATACTCAAGGTAGATTTGCTAAACTCTTGATAGTCTAAACTCCCCTTCTTCTAAGCAGGCTATAGTTAGAAGGCTGCTGAAGCATTTGTTTTTCTAGAATGGCAGAGAAATGACACAAATGTCCTGAGTAAGATATTCTGTTGCTTAGAGAAGAGACCTTTCCTTGCTTTTTTTTTTTTTTTTTTTTTTTGCTGGTCCTGGGGCTTGAACTCAGGGCCTGGGCACTGTCCCTGAACTTTTTTTTTTCCTTTTATTTTTTTGTCGGT